GCCACGTCGGTGGTACCACTCTCCACGCCTTCGCAGGTAACAATCTGACCAACAGTGAGGGGCTGGGAGCCCTTGCTCCCTTCCCAAAGAGTCAGGAGCTTCCCAAAACTTTGCCACCTTCTCCCCTGCCAGGCATCGGCTCTGGGAAGGCACCGCTGGAACAGTGTATTCAGCTGGCAGAGAGACCTGGGGTGCGCCAGCACTGGCTGGCCTGCCAGCACTTAATTATTGATGAGATCTCAATGGTGGATGGCAAGTTCTTTGACAGGCTGGAAGCAGTAGCGAGGTGAGTGATTGTCAGGTCAAACGACTAACAGAAATGAGTTTCCTTAAATTTCCAGGCTGCTTCCTTCCTTTGGTTATGTGAATGGATACAATGGCATAGAACTAGAAGGAAGCATGAAATCATAGCCAGTATCTGGCCAGACCTTTACCTTGAGGTAGGTTTTGACCATGTCCCTACCCCGAGCTGTGCTGTTTCCCTCTCTGGAGCTGAGTGTTGTCTATAGAGCTGAATGCGGAGTACAACTGTCTATGCCGTGCCCAGTTCTCTTGCAGCAAGAAGCAGTTGTAGTATAGTGGCTGAAAACTGGTAAATGACATCTGGGGTGGGTAAGTAAAGCAAGCTTAATGTCATGTAATAGCATTGCTCAATTATTTGAGCTCTTCTGACACAGCTGAGGATAATAATATTTTACTGCAGGTGGCATATGTTTGAATGTACTGATAGACTAAGAAGTAACTTCTGAGACCTGACTATGTCCAGGTCCTGGAGGGCATTCAAAGCTTCTCCTTTCTTCTGTCCCTTTCAGGGCAGTCAGAAAACGGGATGAGCCTTTTGGAGGAATTCAGCTAATCATCTGCGGGGACTTCTTGCAGCTACCCCCAGTCTGTAAGGCTAATGAAGAAACCAAGTTCTGCTTCCAGGTACAAAACTGTCCCTGAACTCATTCTCATACTTCAAATCCACCTCTTTCTTAACAAGAAAATAATTTGCCAGGCAAAAAGCTGGAGGAAATGCATCCACATAAACATGGAGCTGACTGAAGTGCGGAGACAGACCGACAAGACCTTTGTCTCACTCCTGAGTGCAGTCCGTTTAGGCAGGTGAGGAGAAACTCGTCTCTCTGTAATTCCTGCTCCTTACTGAAGGAGCAGAGGTAAGAGCAGTTTGTCACTTTCTGTGCTCTATCAGGAATGTGTGGCTGGGGGCAATAGCTATAAATGGTTTAGTTATTTTAAGCAGGTTTTATATAGTGCTCTACTAAGGAAGGACCCTTTCTAGGACCCCTTTTGTGATTTCTGCTAAGGAATTAAATTGATCCCAAGCTGGCAGTGGCCAGGACAGGGCTGGGGCACACAGTTGCACTGCTCTCCAACTTTGTGTAGTTATCTTTCTCTGTCCTTCTCTCTGAAGGCCTGGGGCTTTCACAGCCTGATCCAGCTGTGTGGAGGCTGCTGCTGCTCAAGACCTGTACCTGATCACTTTAAATAATAATCCCCTTTTCCTGGTTACCAGGTGCACAGAGGAGGTCACCAGACTGTTGATGCAGACTGCTGCCAACAGGTCAGAGCGTGATGGGATCCTGGCTACGCGGCTTTGCACCCATAAAGATGATGTAGAAATAACTAATGAGAAACGCTTGCAACAACTATCAGGTGAACTCCTTGGAGGAAGCTGCTGGCTTTGGGGTTGAGCTCTTAGTAGATACAATGGGAATGCTGTGGTGTCAGGGGAAACTGGTGTTCTGTCATGCATAGCAGCACCAGTTCAAGCTGTGCACGATGGAGTTGAGCTGCCTGGGGAAAAACTTCACAGCTTTTTGCTTAAAGATCCGCACTGTTTCTTCTTGGTGTGTAGCAGTGAGCTCGTTGCTTGCTGTGAGGTGGGGTGGGTCATTATCGCCTCTATACCTCTGCTTTTTCTTTCTATAGTCCTCTTTGGAGATCTGGTGTTGGCAGCAAGTGGAACTGGTCGTATGCTCAAAATGGTGACTGCTCAGTTCTTACTTACTGCTGGTCTTTGATTCTTGAGCCTTCTCATGCTCTCAGAGTTATCCTGGGAAGAGAGGTGATAGTGAGCTTTCTGCTGTTAGACTTGACAAGGTTTATGTGAAGATGTCCTACCAGCAGAGCAGAATGGATATTAAAAGGGGACTTGCTGTTAGAAATGGATTCTGAGCCTCCTGCAATTCTGTGTGGAATGATTGCAATTTGTCACATCTTCCTTTCCTTAATAGGTGAAGTGCACACTTTTGAGGCTTTGGACAGTGATCCAATGCTAGTGAAGTTAATGGATGCTCAGTGTCCTGTGGGTGGTAGAGTTGAGCTCAAGCTTGGAGCTCAGGTAAGTGTGTGTACATACATTTGTGAAAGACTAATGGATCAAATGTCACAAGAAAAATAAAGGAACAGCAGGTAAATGTATAGAGTAAGTTAATGTATAGAATGCAGATTCTGTATAGAACAGCTATGCCAGGCCAAAAGAAGACTCTATCCCAATCTTTGTGTCTCTTCTGCATGGACTCTTATCCAGACAGGGAATTAGTTAAATTTGTGTGTAGGTCTGTGTCTTGTTAAGAGTGGTGAGTGCTATGACTGTGACACTCATTTCCAACCAGGTTTAGAAACTTGCAGGTAGCAGAGAGCACAGGCAGTCCTTGCCTGCAGTCTTAGCTCCAGGTACAGCAGCCCTCCCAACCTATAAGGATATGACACAGCTTGCCAAATTTGCAGAACTGGACGCTTTGCTGTGAGCTAGGGCTGTCAGAGTTGAAAGGAGGCAGGATTGTGCTTAGCAGCAGCACTGTTTGCCTTGGGAAGTTGTTCCTAATCTATATATGTCTAGGCTGGTTGGTGTTTAGGGAAGGGGAATCAGTTGCCTGGATCTGAGCTCACAGCTGTGGACAGAGCAGCTCAAGTAAAGTGTTTGGTGCTGCAGAATGATGTAGTTCGGAATCCTAGGAACAAAAAGCTGTGAAATAATTTTGATCAGGTTGGAGACAGTGCCCTATCCTGAAATAGGATGATGTGGCCATGGCTGTGTCAGCCTTCTGTGCTTGTGCTTCCTGGCTGGAAGCTTAGCTGCAGGTGACTGAACAGGCTGTAAAGCCAGTGCACTAAGGGATTTTTCTTTTTCTCTATAGGTGATGCTAGCAAAGAATTTGAACGTGTCTCAAGGGCTGGTGAATGGAGCACGAGGAGTTGTCGTAGGATTTGAAAGTGAACAGAAGGGTAAATAAGCTTTTTGATCTTTTGTTGAAAGAAGAGGAAATTTATCATTGATGGCTGATGACTTGTTAATTTTGTTTACTGCTTGGTAAGAATAATTTGAGGGAAAGCAGGGAGGAGGTATTCTCTGCAGTGAGAGGCTTGAGGCTCTCATGAGCCACTGTGATGTCATGTGCTGCATCAGCTGTAGCTATCTGTAGGGCCTCTTGTGTTGGCTTTTCTTTATTCTCTAGATGTGTATGCTTATTTGCATTTCCTGTCTCTTCTGTTGAAGCAAGCCTTGGTGGGTTTTTCATTTGTTCTTCTCGGAGAATAATGTCCTGCTACCTGCAACATTTATTTTTCTCTGCATCTCAACTGATAAATTACCTGGCTTTAATTCTCCTGCTTAAGTAGGTCTCAAACATGATTTCAGGACATCCTGTGTGTGTGTTTAGGTTTTTTGTTTTCGTATGGGATTTTCTTTTCTTTATGCAGCCCTAAAATTCAAGACTGACTGACATGGGGAAGGAGGAAAAAAGTGCTCTTAAGCTGCTGGCTTCCTGGCTGTTGAGTGTCAGGAATACATCCTGTTTCTCTCCTGCTCCCATTCCTACAGGGCTGCCTAAGGTGAGGTTTCTCTGCGGGGTCACACAGGTCATCAAAATGGAGAAATGGGTCTTCAAAGGACCATCAGGAGTTCATCTGAGTCGTCAACAGTTGCCTTTAAAATTGGCATGGGCTATTTCCATTCACAAGAGTCAGGTGAGTTTTCTTATACAGCTGTCTATAGACTTTTACACCATCATAAGCCTTATTTCCTGGGTGAGCTCGTGTTGCTGGTAAAACAGAAGGGAAAGCTGGAAGGCCCTTGTTGTGGGAGACCTCTGGAATACGTGTGTCTAGCTGCAGAGAGGGCAGCACCTCTTCTGCTTGTGATGCTTGTCCGTAGGGTCAAGGATGGGCTAGCAAATACTGCTACAGTTTTCACAAGAATGCTGCCAGCTGCATAGCTGGTGTTAGACATTATTAGCAGCATTATTTACCACTGGGGGCTGACCGGGGTAGTGTTTCCAATAGTCATCCGCATTAGAGATGCCGAGGTTTGCAGTGTACCTGAGGAAGCTGGAGGAGTCATAGCTGTGCTGTTTGGGCTGGACTCCTCCTTTGGTGATGTGTATTGGGTTTTTTCAATGTAGCTAATACAGCTCATACCTTCATACACTCTGATAAATCCTTGTCTTGGTGTTAGGCCCGTGAGTTTGTTCCCATGCCACTGCTTAAACCAGGCCACATTGTGAATTCTGCTGCCTCCTGGGATGTCTCTTGGTGCAGACAGGGCTGGCCAGGCCTAACCCAAACTCTGTCTCAGATGGTCTGCCCGAGGACTGCTTGAGACTGGCAGCTGCTTCAGTTTACTACTAGGAGTGAAACCAGCAGTTCTTTCCCTGCTGCTTTGACTATATGGGATTTGTGGAGCTTCACACAAGAGGCCCACTGAAGTTAGTTAGTGGACCTTGCTATCTGCTAGCACTTTCCTGACAGCGGGAAAATGGTCCTTTTCTTTCTACTGATTCCCATTTTTTAAGCAGTTACATAGTCAAACAAGAGACTTGATAAAGAAAAAAATAAGATATTAAGCCTATACACCAACGATGGTACCTCTGACCGACTCACAGGACAGGTTAGTGTTGATACAGCACATTATTCTTTTTTGTTTGTTTGTTCTGTAACAAACTTCTCTTTGACAGGGCATGTCTTTAGACTGTGTGGAAATCTCCTTGTCTCGTGTCTTTGAAAGTGGGCAGGCTTATGTAGCCCTCTCCCGAGCCCGTAGCCTTGCAGGTCTCCGTGTTCTGGATTTTGATCCGAAAGTAGTGAGAGCTGATCCTTCTGTGTTGCAATTCTACAGACAGCTAAGATATCATCAGCTTCTAACCCAGGTAAGGAAAAATCCTATGCTACCAAAGCCTGCCTTGAGCAACCGGCATGAGAGGTGTCTGTGCTGAGATACTAATTTGAATGATCTTGCTTAGGAATAAAAGGTAAAACTCGTAGTGACAGGAGAGATCAAACTGCAGAGAGGGAATGTGCTGGGGGTAGCTCTTGGTGGCAAAATATCTACTGTAGTGTTGGGATTGTGTAACACTGCCTGGCCCTGGGGGTGCAAGGATGGGTTGGGATTCTTTGTTCCTTCTCTTGCAGTAAGAACTGAAGAAGAAGTGGGTGCACAAGAAATCTGTTCTATTTTTCTTTTTTCTTTCCCTCTCCCCCAGGATTCACTACATAACCAGCCAGGTGCTGATGAGAAGGAGAACTGGAAATGCAGCTGAAAATGCTCTTTTGGCCTCTGTGAGGCATCAGCACAGACTGCCGACTTGCAGCAATCTTGCTATTGAGTGTATTTGGTAACATAAAGTCAAAGGAATGTTTTTAGATGTTTTCTTAATTCAGCTGACTCTGGATACGTAGAAGTATCTCTGTCTCATGCCTCTGAAATTTGGAAGGCTTCTCTAGCCCCTTCCTGGGCCCACAGCCTTGAGTACTTCTATGTCACAGATACAACTCTAGCAAACAAAATGACTTGAAGAAGGACACACCTGAGGGACCTTCCTATGATTCTGTCCTGTCTGCCTGGTTGCATTTTATTCTCCACACATGCAGCCTGAAACTTGTGTGCCTTTCTTCAACTATACCACAGTAGAGAGATGGAAGGTGTGTCCTCTTTGCCTGGATGGATTGGACTTGTTCACAAGAGCTGCTGACACAAGGGAAAGCAGTGCTAAGTATCTGGAATACATGCTTGATTCTCCTGCAAGTGAGGAGCTGCCAGGAGCTGAGCTAGCACTTCATAGCATGCTGGGGTGTTCTTGCCTTTGAGATGCTTAACACCAGGAGACTTTGAATAACTTCCTCCACAAGCAGAACTGTTGGAGTTATTCATTGTCTGTTATGCTGATACATGGCCTTTTTATTAGTCTGTTGCATACGATGTGATTTTAGTTTTTTTTAACCTTCTGAGATGAGCTGGCAATGTTTAAAAATAGGAGGAATTCCTACATCTTATACCCATAATTATGGAACCGTAAGAATTGTGAAGATCCATTACCCCCATTAGCAAGAAGAGAGTGAGTGGAGATGGGTGCTGGTGGGAGCTTCTGTTGTTTAAACACATGAGGCTTACCCAAACGGGAGGGAGTTTCTTCTGGAAGCCACGTTTGACTAATAAGGTGGAAGTCGAATGAATGTGCAATAGGGAATAATGGCCAAGGACACATGAAGTGAGCTGTAACTTCACCTGTTTCAGCAAAAGCAGAGATGAGCAGAACTGTCTTTCTGAGCCTTAATAAAGGAGAAGCTTTGGTCTTTATATTGTAATACACTACTTAAAGCTTGAGTAACTCATATATTTTAAATGTTTAACATGCAGGAATAATGTGAAATATCAACATCCAGCTGGAACTCGTCTCTTGCAGGGGAGTGTTTCTGTAACAAAGGCTCTGCAGTATGAGTGAGTTGAAGGCCACTTCTTGGCAGCTGCTCTCCTTAAAGCCAGGGAAGGATGTTGACTAGCTAGTGGTTAACCTAACAGAAAACAGATTTTAGTAGGATTTCAAAATGTATTTTAAGTGGAGTTTATTTTTTCTGGGCTTGAGAGGTGGCATTTTGGAGGAAGCAATAGTAGAAGACAGAAGTGTGAGAATTATTATTCAGAGGAGTTTATTCTAAGAGGAAGTTCTTAATGTGTCGGCACATTGTTTCTTCAAAGAAGTCTGGTGGGAAGTAGGTGGAAGTACCTGAAGCTGGAGCTGCAGTCTGTGGGAGATCCTTCCTATCACACTGCAGGCTGTTTCTGGCACTACCTCTGGTCTTTCATACTCTCTGTGTGAGTGTGAATTTACTTTTTTTTCTTCTTTTTTTTTTTTTTTTTTAAACACCATCTCCTAGTTCTTTGAGCTGGACTTAAGCCGTTTGTCCACCTTGGGGAGGAACTGAAAAATGACCTTCCCATGCCCACACCCCTGGGAAGGAGAGTGCTGGTATGCCAAAGCATCGCTGCTGGGGCAGATGAGCATTGAGGTGCGATTCCTTGGCCTGTGGCTCCCAGAGCCTCCCCAGACCTGATGAGAGCCTGACTCCAGTGCAGCCTTGCACCCACAGGGGAGCTGCTGCAGGTGTCTCCACCCAGCCCGCAGGCTGTATCTCCCAGCTGACTGGGTGGCAGTACCCAGTTGAGGTGATGGTGAGCATGGGGGTGCTCAGGTTCAGCCTCTTCCTCCTGTGGTAGCACACATGGAGGGCAGGTCTGGCAGGCCTTTCCTAGGACACCTATTGTTCCCTCGGCTGCACATTAGCTCTACCCTGCTGCAAATCCCCATCCTGCAGCACTCTTGTCCTTTCCTAGCACTGCTGTTCTGGGGTGGGTGCCCTGGTTGTGCCTCTGTGCTGTGCCACTCATGCTTCCTGCATTGTTCCAGATGGGCCTCAACGTGCATCCTCCACCTTTGTTGTGGGTTGAGTTTTTGCTTTTGTTCACCTTGTTCTTTGGACCATCTGCTGACATTGTGTCCATCTTTCCCTCATACTCCTTGTGCAGGTGGTCAGAGGCTCTGGGTGCCCTAACTGTGAGGGGCAAGGCTGTCTGTGCAGGCAGGGAAGCCTGATGGGTAACCTAAAAGCCTGTATGCTGGGCTGGAGCCAGCTTGCACTCTTGTGGGTTTTTAGAGATGGAATGCTGCCATATGAGGGCTTGATGTTGCATTGGAGATTGAGGTGTGGCATCTGAAATGCTTGGGTTTGTTAAAGTGAGTTTTACTGTTGGGGTGGACAGTTAAGGAGAATATACCAGGCACTTCCAGCTATACACAATACATTAATTTATTGACAGATTGTGTAAGAGTAATGAGATAATGCAGGCTCAAACCCTTTAACATCTCTTTAAAAGTTCCTGTACTGCTGTAATGACAAGATAATTTAGAGCATAAGATAGCTGATTATGTGCAATGCAAATAAACTTTTAATTGTGATCTTGTGAAGCAACTCACTTAACTGAGGCTTTCATGGGTTTTGGGGCTGAAATTATTCTAGTTGTATGGGAGTTTTTTATGCCAATTTGAGGTTTGAGATAAAATGCTAAACAGAACTTAAAGCTAGAAAGGCTAATAAATATTTCATGCTAGTATTAAATGTACATGAAATATTGTGGTTGCCTCGTCAGAAGTGGAGCAGTGGGAACAGAATAGCAGTGGCTGTTGAAGGGTTTGCAGCTGTCCTGAGGCCAAAAAAGAGTCCATCTGTGTAAATTTTGGATGTTCTCGCTCACTTCTAGCTAAAGCAGATGTAAAGATGGAGGCTGAGGCTGAACACTGCTATTAAAATCCTAAAAGGAACAGTCAAGACAAATCTGAGCTGTCAGGCACTGTCATGGCTACCCTGCAGTCAGGATTGTGATGAGGCTTTTTTTAACAGAATAATACTTCCATATATATGAGGTAGAAATCTTGTAATACAATAAAAATCCCTTCCTCTTCCAAGTACTCATTAACATGTTAATTTTTCTTGCAGAGGGATATTAATTAGTCTGTAGCTAGAACCCAGTACACCAACAAGGGAATTTTTTTTAAAACTTTTTTCATTGCAGTGACTCTAGTGGAAGAACAGAGGTGCTAATCTTCTCTTCATTAGTAAGTAAAATGAAGAGGAATCTGAAGAGCAAGCAGCGTTTTACATGAGGCCACCACAAGCCATCTTCAAAATGTCCGATGATGCTGTTGGCTTTTGCCTGCCGAGGCAAGGTGGTCTTGGCAGGTTGGATGTTCTTCAGGGGCAGTTCACATGGCTTGTGATGGAGCAAGTACATGTGCTGTTCTCAGCTCATGCAACCTCGAGCTCGTGCTTTTCCCCTGCCCCAGCATGGATCTGCACAGGCTGTGTCCTTCAGGAAAGGACCTGCTCCCCTTGGTTTCTGCAGGAGTCTCTGCTCGGGCACCCGCAGCTCCTCCTCCCGCTCTGACCTGGGCGCTCGCAGGGCTCACTTCTTACCCTTTTCTCCTCACAGCCACATCGTTTTCCCCTTCTTAAACCTGGTGCCACAGAGGCTCCAGCAGTGTTGGGGATGTGCTCAGCGGTGCCCTGTGGCGGGACTGTGGCACCGCTGGCTGGAACCGGTTGGAACCAGCTGTGCCGGGCATGGGGCAGCCCCACCTCTCCTCACAGGTGTTCCCACCAGCCGCCAGGCAGCGGCACCCGACGCACCAAGTCCCGAGTCCGTCAGCTCCTCCAAAACGGCCTCTCCACCCTCTCCTGCGGACATCTGCGTGGTTGGATATCCAGGACAGAGGTAGGGCTGGAGGTGCTGCCGTAGGTAAAAAGGGAAATGGCCGGTGATGGAGGTGATCCCCATGGCAGGAGGCAGGGATGGGAGGTGGCCCGTGGCGCGGCTGGAGTGCCGCTGAAACAAAAGGCACGCCGAGCGCGGCGAGTGGCTGGGGTTGCACTGCCGTACTCCAGCAAACATGGAGGAAACAAATGTCGTCCACTCCCACAAACTGAAGAAAAAACATTTAAACATGGCTTTTGCCTTAACTGCAGCTGTAATTAAGTGAACTAAACTATGAGTTTGATTCATAATCGGTATTTCTGTTACCACAAAGTTCAGCCCTTCCCTTTTCAAATACATTAAGCCATAAGAAACTGCTTTATACCAGCTAAAGCTTCATAATACAGTTACGTGTTATTGGAAGCATAATTCACATGCAGAGTCTTATTAAAACCTTAGCAGCTTCCAGTTTAAATCTTTGTACAGTGATTTAACTCCCTTCTCATTCTTTACCTGACATTTTCGTAATAATTAAGCATGAACCTGTCCTTACAGTCTGTACCCAGAGGTCTCGTGGTGTGCAGGAAAGGCAGCAGTAGCCCTGTTGGTCTCAGA